ACTCGTCTGGTAAGGCTCTGAATGTCCTTCTGCATCTTCGGCAATTCCATGTCTGTCAAAGCTTTTATCTTTTCTGGATTTGCCTCAATTCCCCTTTGGCTAATCATGAAGCCGAGGAATTTTCCAGAAGATACGCCAAAGGCGTACTTCGTTGGATTCAACCGCATTCGGTATTCTTTCAAGATGCCGAACTTGAGGGATAAATTGCTCAAATGCTCCCCTGTTGTCTTACTCTTCACCAGCATGTCGTCGACGTAGACTTCCATTGTACTGCCAATATGCTTGGCGAAGATCCGGTTGACCAACTGTTGATATGTTTCCCCCGCATTCTTCAGGCCGAACGGCTTGACGTTATAGCAGTACAGGCCTTTGTCCATGATGAAGGCTGTATGCTCGCTGTCGGCAGGATGCATGAAAATTTGGTTGTATCCCGAGTAGACATCCATGAGGCTTAGCAATTCGTGGCCAGCAATGGCGTCGACCAACTGATCTATTCTTGGCAACGGGAAGCTATCCTTCGAACATGCCTTGTTCAGGTCGGTGTAGTCTTGGCACAATCGTCATCCACCTTTTGCCTTCCAAACCATAACAGAGTTGGCCAGCAATATCAGGTACGTAGCCTCCCGAATAAAGCCGATGTTCGTTAGCTTGTCTACTTCGGTTTTCATGGCCTCGTACCTTTCGGCATCGTAGGATCGCCGCTTTTGCGAAACGGGTTTGTATGCTGGAGAGATGCTGAGCTTGTGGCTGATGACTTCGGGGGAAATGCCTGGCATGTCATTGTAGGACCAAGCAAACACTTCCGAATGTTCTCGCAAGAACTGTATGAACTTGGTCAGGCTGGCCCTTGTCTAGGGCTACGGTTTCCAAATCCTCGGCAGGCTGAGCTTGCGGGGTTGGAGCTTTGCCTCTTGGATCATTGATTAGCTCATTGCCGTTTGGCAAGCCCTCCACCGTTAAGGTTTCCCGGGTGTTCTTGGGTTCTACGAATTTTACTGCTATTGCATAGCAGTTCCGAGCGCTGAGTTAATCCCCCTAGTCATCCCCATGCCGCAGCAAGTGGGGAATTTCATCAGCAGCATGTGAGGGGAGAGGTGTGCCTTGATCCCTGTGAGTGCCGTTCGACCAATTATGACGTTGTACACCGTTGGGCAATCGACAATGAGGAATTGGTCGTACACCGTAGTCTTCCGTGGGGCAACGCCGAAGGCGATGGGTAGGCTAACCTACCGATTGGTTGGACCAGGTCTCCCGAAAAGCTAAGGAGGGGGGCCAGTTGCCGATTTATATAGCTGTCATCTATCCCCAGTTCTCCAAATGCGTCGGTAAAAATGACATTTATCGAACTCCAAGTGTCGATCAAGACCCTTCCAACATCAAATTCGACGATTTCGGCTCAGATAATCATCAGATCATCGTGTGGGTAAAGGATCACTTCTTCCTCCTCTTCGTAGAAGGTTATGGGTTTCCACCGTACCTTCGGTATTTTCGTATGCCGACTGCTCTCAATGCCGAGGACCTGGGGATATTGAGCTGCCCTGACGTACTGCTTCCTTGAGCGGTTGGATACGCCTGCCAAGGTTGGTCCTCCGCTAATGGTGCTGATCATGTTGACCTGTCAATTTGCGTTCGGGGCAGGCGCCTATTGGGGCCTGGCGATGTACCGATCCAACTTGCCCTCCCGAATCAATCGTTCGACGATTTTTCGTTGGCTGATGCAATCCTCCGTATTGTGATTGTTGTGTTGGTGGTATCGGCAGAATTTGCCGATGTCCCGGTTGTCTTGTCGATTGGGTTTCTGGTTGGTGGGTTTCGGTATAATCTCGTGCTCGTTCATGAGAACAGCCTCGTAGGAGGTGTTGAGCAGAGTGTAGACTTCTTGCCCTTGGCTGTGGTTCGGTAGTGGCGCACGGTGGTCATTGCGGCCGAATCTCCCCTTTCCTTTTTTGGAGTGTTCCTATCGAGCGCCTCCGTGTGAGTCCTTCCATTTATGCCCTACCTGATACCCACCATTTTTCTCGATAGTGTCGTACGGCTTTTCTTGCGCCAAATACTTCTGTGGTACTGGTTCCTCCTGCCGAGCCGAAGGCCCGGCCATTGAGTTGAAGTATTCGGCTTTGGCGTGGATCATCGCTTATTTCATCAACTCATCGTAGGTACGCCAGTTGCTACTGTGTAGCAGGTACCGAAAATGTGAGGACCGAAGGCCACTCTTGAAGGCGCCGAAGGCTGCCCTGTCATCGGTTTCCAGGCACCTGGAATACTCATGACTGAAACAAGCTGCATACTCCTGAAGGGGATCATCTTCCCACTGCCGGATGGTGTACAAGTTGTCAGCAGAGTATAGTCTGTCTGTCTGAATTAGAGTTTGGCATATGGGACCGAAAATCGGCCAAACCGGTATGGGATCGAAAACCGGCCGAACCGAACTGGTTGGTCTGGTTTGGTGTGGTTTTTTTCTCCTTTTTTGGGCCAACGGTGCATGAATCGGACCGAACCGACCTTCATGGTTCGGCACCCGGTTTCCAATTTCAAAAACCGTCGATGAATCGGACTGAACCGGGTATGTTAAATTATATGTAATTAAATAATTATAATACAACCTTATTTCCATTTTCAACATTTAAGTAAATGTCTTTGTCATTTTACTTTTATTTATTTTTATATTACTCCATTTACTTAAGTTTACAATGTAAATAAGGAAGTACCCCCCATTTGGATTCAAATAAAAATACTAGAAAATCAAATTCCAACCAAATCAAATTATGAAAAATCGATTTTAGTGCAAAATACGATTTAGGCTAAAAATGATGGCTCATTAAGTCAACATATACTTCATACTAAAATCCCATAAAATCAAGTTTTCTTATTTGATGTATGAGGAATAAAAGCCGCCAAAAATTATCTTGAGAAAATTATTATTCCGAAAACCCATTTTTCATACTTAGTCAATATTTTTACATAATGGTGAATGATGCATATGGTTTAGTTTGAAACTTTGGATGGATGTGAATGATGAACGATGCATATGTTTTAGTTTGAATTGAAAGGATTGATTGAATGAATGAATTTGAATATGTTGTAATGTGAACGGTGAATGAATGTTTGAGTTTGAATGAATTTAGAGCCTACATGTTTCCAAGCAGGTTTTCACCAAACCAAACCAAACCAAACCGAGCTAACCGGTTAACCGACCGGTTCATTGGTTCGGCGCACGGTTTGAATTTTCTCTAAACCGGAGTTCATGGTTCGGCGCATGGTTTGGCCTCAAAACCGAACCAAACCAAACCGAGCCCACCCCTAGTCTGAATCATGAAATGGTTCAGGAAGATCTGTTTCAGCTCATCAAAGCAATCGACTGTCCTTGGTTCCAAACGATAGAACCAGTTCAAGGCTGCCTCCGTAAGCGAGGACAGGAACAGCATGCACTGTCCTTCGTCGCTGAGCCTCTTGCATCCCACGGCAAACTTGAAAGAGTGAAGGTGCGGGTTTAGGGCTACGCATGTGTAAAACGATATGTGAAGGGGCTGCACGTCCCTGTCCTGCCGTAAGCGTCTTATGCGCTCGATGAACGGTCCTGGCCGAAGCTTTCCCCAATCGGGTTCCTAAGAACGAGTTCTGTCGTCCTCCATCTTCTGCACTCTCTGAAGGAGGAGTTGAATGACAGGGTCTCTACTTGGGATTTCTTCCGTCGTATGGTGTTGTGAATGTCGAGGGGACCTGATCGGGTTAACCTCGGAGTACCTCGTGGGCGTTGCCGAACGGTAGGTTGATGACTGATTCGTGGGGGGGGCGTACTCATGGTCGGATTCGGCCGTCGACTCCAAACCTTGTACCCTTCGTATAGGAGATTTGTTCCCCATAACCCTCAATCGAGAATCGTTTAGGCGCACATCGATTCGGATTGGTGACCTCTGCCGTTCGGCCTCCCGATCCAAGAGCCTATGGCGACAATCGGAATAGACCTTCTTCGGTACATGGGGTTTACCCTTAGGGGCCGGAACCACTAACTGTTTGGAGGGCGCAGGCATTGCCTTTGCCCCCTTTTTACCCTTCTTCTGCCGATGGGGAGTCTATAGACTCTGGGAGGATTGATTAGTCTGAATGTTTTGTGTTTGCTGGTGGTTAAGCAATTGTTGTGTTTCGTCTACTTTGGACGAGAGAAGATTGTTGTGTTCCTATAATTTTGCCATGTCCTGCCGAAGAGCCGTGATTTGAGCTAGGAGCTCGGCCTCGGCGGTGGTTTGGATTACAGAGGAATTGTCTGCCGTTGTGCATGGGGGTAGCGCTAGGCTAACTCTGCCTTGCCTATCGAACGGCAATCCCTCCTGTGGTAAGAACGTAGATTTAGATGTGGTCCCCATATGGTAGGGATAAAGGGTCGATTGCTTATCGTTCCCACAGACAACGCCAAACTGTTGATGCGAAAAAGTGGTTCAGCACTCTTTGGCTCAACTTAGTGATATTGGACCTTCGGAATGCTTTAGGCCTCGGTATAGCATGTGATCTACAAGATGAGAAAACGCTCGGTAAAACCTAGGGCACCGATGTGGTACCGGCCGAAGGCTCTCCGATGCTTAAGTAAGTTCGAATTTAGTAAATTAAACTGACAGATCAATAGGCTTGTATGTCTTTAGTTCTGGTTACCTCTATTTTGGGATAGCTGTCCTCTTTTATAGGCCTTGGGAGGTGTGCATGTTGTTTAGAATTTCGACGTGGGACTGTAGATGTCGATTGTGAGCATGCCACGTGTCATGGAGAAGGGAGTTGCCCTAATCGTTGGATTGGTAGGCTAAGTGCCGAAGGCTACCATAATCAGGCTCAATCTTGTTCACGTGTCTGACTCCCATAGGCTGTTCATTTTGGTATAAACATACAGTAACTCTAATTCCTTTGTTACATTATGTCAAATCTTCATTCAAATTAAATGAGGGTTCTCTTTTGACAAGTAGATTTCTAATGAATTCTATGAGGCTCCAATTTAGTTTCCTATTTTGTAGGGATCAATTGATTTTGATGGTTTGGACACTGTTTCATGGTGGGACAATGCAGAAGACAAGGATGAAGAACCTGAAGACCCTTAAGCTTACAGACCTTCTGAAGAGGGAACTACTTTGTTTCTCATGACCATGTTTGAAGTCATGGATACAATTTGGTTTGAGCTTGTAACTTTTTCATTTTTGATTATATATAAATTATTGTCGTTCAAATAAGCTTGATTGGAAAGTGGACAAACTTTAGTGGTCTAGAGGGGTGATACAATATGAATTCCATGGTGAATCAGCTTAGCTTGAGCCTTGTGGACTCATTGGTTTTGACTTGCTGTCTCATTTGCAATAATATTCTTGGGGAAACTGCATCTTGCACGTATCTAAATGTAGTATGCCCTTCCCTCATGGAAGGGAAGGGAACATTGTAGGTATTCGTTTTACTACGGTTGCCTTGCTACCGTTACTTTCTGAGGGTCATACTCATAGTTACATAAGAATACTGGCCTGAATTTCTATTCTAGATTTCACATTTTCTTTAGAATTGTGATAGCTCTTGATAGGATAAATGAAGTTTAAATTTCTTGGGGTTACCCAATAATGCATACTTTTGTTGTTGAGGTGTTTTGGGTCAAATCTCTGTTCAGAAAACCTTCTTTTGAAACTGATGGTGTCTAGCTCAAGCTTCTTTGGAAATGTGGTTTACTTACTTTGAATCAGTTTGAATAGATGTGATTGGATTATCAAGGATAGATTAGAATTGATGTTGTGGAGAAGAAATTCATAATGATCTGGACCAATTGTAATTAAAAACATGCAAAACAGGCTAAAGGAAGATTCAGAACCAAAAAACAAAAAAGAAGATTTGATTCTCTTTTATTGCCATAATTTCACTCTCTTTGCCCTACATTTATTCTAATCTTAATGCACATATATTAATTTGAGATCTTGTGCTTCATACAATTTTCTCAAAGAGCTATGGGAGCCATTGAAGTCGATGGTATGACATCCCAATCTTCCATCTGATTCAACACCTCTAAAGAACTATGAGGAACTACAAAGAGATGTGGGTTTCTCACACACACCCAATCAAGTTGTCATAGGAACTCGAATTTGAGACCACTGGTCTACAAGGCGCTTTTCCATTAAGTTAGACCCTGTACATGAAATGAGTATTGGAATTATTCCTTTCAAATTTCTGACTTCCCCTGCACTTACTAACACATAATGAATAAAAAATTATGTAGATTATACATTAAAATTCAAATTCAAATACAAAAATTAAAAATTAAAAGTTAGAAAAATAGAAATAAACTAAGCCCAAGCCCATAGTATTTCAGTTGTGGGCGCTAAATTCCTTGAGCTTTCGAGGAGGCTTTGTCACTTAGACTACATCCTAAACTCATTCAAAGCCCAAAGAACTCGATCAACAGAGCCCAAAAATTGAAATTTCCAGCTTCATCTCCCTTCCATCAAATTCGTTACACTGTTGACTGAAACTCTTTTTCAAAATTTACAAACACAAGTACTTTTGTTAGGTGAAGTTGGGAGGATACTTGTCGCCTATATATATATATATATATATATATATATATATTCATTCACGTGCAAAACATATAGGTATAGCCCACCACCAAGTGTTGTCGTTAAAATAAGATTTTTTTTATAGAAAAAAAACAAGAAAATTATACGGCGGTGGAAGTTGAATTGAGAGTTTGTGACATACTTTTGCGGTGTGTTAAATCCATTCCTTCGTAGAAAGGGCAATAGTCAAAGAAAGCAGTAAATGGTGATGCCCCAAAGCCGCTTTTTTATCTTCAACAAAGGCTGCGGTTTGTGTCGCTTTTGGCTACAGAAAAGTGACAAACCCCACCCAATCTCAAAAGGTGTCACTAACACTCACAAATATCACTGTCTTGTCAGTTGCTCCCTCTAGTTTTATTTTTTCGAGTTGGGTTTAATTATCACACTTGGTGATTGAGAAGACAACTTGTTAGTTTCACAGAAATACTACTGCTCACTTCATGACTTTTTCCTCTCTTTTTTGATTGGCACCTTAAAATCTGTTGTTTCTTTTTTGATGGACACTTTCTTTTTTCACTTTAAAATCTTTCTACACACGTTCAATGTAAGAAACGAGAATTTGGAGTCGGTGTTTTTATTTTTTTTATTTTTAATAGAAGTGGTAAATCAATTACATTGAATATAGGAATCCTTGGCATATAAGGAAAGTAACAGCAAGTCCACAAGTCACGTCAATACTCCCCCTCACGTTGGTGCATAGATGTCGCCAATGCCCAACTAGTCTAGTGAATTGTTGAACAATCTACTAGAAGTTGTCTTTGTCAAAATATCCGCCAATTGATCCTCAAACTTTATGAACGAAAATTGAATCACTTTAGCTTCAAGCTTCTCTTTGATATAGTGTCGATCCACCTCAACATGTTTGGCGCAATCATGTTGAACTGAATTCTGTGCAATAGCTATTGCAGCCTTGTTGTCACAAAAGAGATTTATTGCAGACATATGTCGATACCCAAGTTCAGTAAGCAACCTCTTTAACCAAATGAGTTTGCAAATTCATTTGGTCATACCTCTAAACTTGACTTCTGCACTGGAGAAGGCGAATACCTTTTGTTTCTTGCTCCTCCATGTAACCAAATTACCTCCCACGAATGTGAAGTAACCGAATGTGGATTTCCTATCCGTTATACTTCCTGTCCAATCTGCATCTGTGTAACCATAAATATTTAGAAGACCATGTTTTGAGAACAAAATCCTTTTCCGAGTGCAGACTTCAAATATCTAAGTATTCGAAGAACTGCATTCACGTGGTCTTCACTTGGAGAATGCATAAATTGACTAACTATGCTCACAACATAAGCGATGTCTGGTCGAGTATGTTGACAAATAGATCAATCTTCTCACTAAACTTTGGTATTTTCCTTATTATTTGGAACTTAATCCAGGTATTCTCCAAGATGACGATTTTGAATAGTAGGAGTGTCTACAGGTTTGCAATCTACCATTGTTGTGTCTGTCAATAAGTTGAAGACATATTTCCTTTGAGATAGAAATATGCCTTGCTTTGATCGGGCCACCTCAATCCCCAAGAAATACTTGAGTCCACCTAGATTTTTCATCTCAAATTTAGTAGCTAAAATAGTCTTGCATCAGAGATATTTCTCGTTCATAATTCCCAGTAATAATCATATCATCAATATAGATTATTAAAACTATTACCTTTCCTTTCTGATGTTTCAAGAACAGAGTATGATCTTAATTACTCTGCTTGAACCCATAATTCCTCATTGCCAAATTGAATCGTCAGAACCATGCACGTGGTGATTGTTTCAAACCATATAGTGCTTTTCGCAACTTGCACACCATACTAGTCTGAGTAGATGTTGTATATCCCGTTGGAACGTCCATGTACACTTCTTTTGTGAGTTCACCATGCAAGACAGCATTTTTTACATCAAAATAATGAAGGGGCCAATCCAGGTTAGCTGCAAGATATAGTAGCACTTTGACTGTGTTAAGCTTTGCTATGCGAGCAAAGGTTTCTTCATAATTGATGCCATAAGTTTGTGTGTACCCTTTTGCCACAAGTCTGACCTTGTATCATTCAACGGACCCATGGGCTTTGTATTTGACAATAAACACCCATTCTTTATCCAACTGTTCTTTTTTCTATGGGTAATATCTCTAGTGTCCACGTCTGATGCACAAACACCTTCAGTGCTTCAGTCACCTTAGTAGGAATGGCAATAACAGATAACTGATGCACAAACACCCTCAATGGTTCAGGAAGTCTTTGAGTTGACACATGATTGGCAATTGGGTACTTCTACGTCTTTCCAATATCAGGAGAATACCTGTTTGGTGGTTTTCCACGATTCTGCTAGAAAGGTAATTAGTATCCAATAGAATCGTCAACTAAATTCACAGGAGTTGAAGGGATATTTACCTTAGGGATATTCTGAGGAGATTGGTTGTTTGGTACTGTTGAATGAGAAGGGGTGTCTTCAGTGTGTTCAAGTTCGTCTTTTTTCTCAAAGGAGTTAGAAGTAGTCAAATCATGGGACATTTCAAACACAGGCGATCGGTCCAATTATTCAGGGCGACTGGTCGTTTTATCGTGTAGCAAGCAATCTTGTTCTACTGTTTGAGGCAACCGGTCGTTAGAATAAAACGACCAGTCGTTTTGTCTAGAGAGCTTGCTGTTTGAAGCGACCGGTCTTTATTGTTAGAACGACCTGTCATTTTCATTCATACTTCAATTTTTCCATCTTCTAAGGTGCTCCAAGTTTGTGCTTCACTCCGTGTCTCTCCCTGAAGTGGAGAATTGGATACTGGGTCATGAAAGAATGTCTTGGACTCTAAAAAAGTGACATCCATAGTAACATACGTGCACCGGGAAGGAGGATGATAACACGGGTAGCCTTTCTAATGAGTGACATATCCAACAAAAACACAATGAAGCGCATATGGATCAAGTTTACTACGCTAATTTTTGTGGAGATGAACGAAGGCCACATATCCAAAGATTCCGGGTGTGAGCATCAAACAGAGGGCAGGGGCCCGTGTTGTACTAGCACTTGTAAGGGAGTTTTAAAGTTCAAGACACTAGAAAGGCATGCGGTTGATTAGGTGAACTTCAGTTACAATAGCATTGTCCCAGTGATGGTGAGGAACATGAGCACCAATCAGAAGTGCTCAGGCTGTTTCAAGAACATGTCAATTCTTTTGTTCAACAACACTATTTTGTTGTGGTGTCTGGGGATAGGTTGTCTCATGGATAATTCCATGATGTTGGAAGCATGTCTAAAAGTCATAATTGATAAATTCTCCACCGTTGTCAGAGTGAAGAATCCTTATTTGAGCATTGAAATGAGTTTGCATCTGTTTATGGAAGAACTGAAACCGTGAAAAGACTTCGTTTTTATTCTTCATCAAATAAAGTCATGTCATCTATCTACAATCATCGACGAATTTGATAAACCAAAGAACACCAGAATGAGCAGTGATAAGCGAGGGTCCCCAATTAACGTAAATGGAGTAATACACTTGCTCGTACTCAACGATTAGGGCAC